TCGGCACCAATCAAGGAGACAGCTACATGCGGCAAGCCAGCAGCATGCAGGTCAACTCCAAGAATTCGGCTGCATCACCCGACATCGACTCGTCATCATCCTTCGGAGGCGCTCGTCAGCCCTCATCGACGGATCGCGTGGTCCTCGCTATCGACTCGACATTACAAGGCAACTCACAGCGACGCATTATCAACGTCAACAAGCAAAGGACGACGTATTATCTACAATACCATGCAAGATAAGTAAACAAACCATCACGGTGTTTTGATTGCATCTACATACAGCCTTGAGCATGCATGCAAGAAATAAATTCCCTTGCTACCGATCTACACTCACAAAACATGACTCCAACGTCATCAATCCAAACAAGCTAAGTCATGGTTTTTTTTCATTGAATATTCTAACATATATATAACTTTGTCTACCTTGATAACTATCAACAGCAGTGGCGGCCCTGTGCTTTCTCTATTTGTTTTCCATAATTTTTCTCAAATTACTTATTTCTCCATGCTAAACATCTTTAAAATGACGTATAATATCGCCATTCAAATTGGATTGCGCCCTCGCCTTGGTCGGACACGCTCAAGGGCTTCGCCTCCCCATGCAAATTGACTCCGCCAGGCTCCGATTACTCCCGTTTGCCTACGACTCTATGTAACCGCCGTGCTGCCGAGCCACCGTGTCGCTGTGCCGCTGAGCCGCCGAGTCGCTCGAACCGTCGTGCCGCCGTGCCGCCGAGCCACCAAGCGAGTTTCCTGAGTTGTAATCAAGCCGTGCCACACCGCGATGATGACCACCATGAATAACTACGTTGTGACAACAGCGACCGCCGCCATGGCGACAGGCTAGAAAAGCTCGAGGGCTAGTCAATTTCATCACCGCCGACCAATCACGTTCTCATTCGCATTACCCAAAAGCAGCCCTATCCTCGATTTTGCATCCAAGTATGCATGAGCAGTAGCGCTCCATGCCATGGGTGATCGGCAGCGGCTCCTTGGTGATGCCTATATCCCCAAGTATGCATGAGCAGTAGTGCTCTGCGCCACGTGCGATCGGTAGCAGCTCCTCGGTGTTGCATATATTCCTAAGCGTGCACAAACATCTCAGGATAGAATGCCCCCCACGTCTCATCGGTACAGTGCTTAGCACTCTTCACGGTCTCCAATTTTCGCCACAGGTCTCCAATTTTCGCCACGGTCTCCAAATTTCGCCATGGTCTCCAATTTTCGCCACGGTCTCTAATTTTCGCCACGGTTCTCCAATTTTCGCCACTCTCCAATGATCTCCATGTTCTCCAATGATCTCCATGTTCTCCAGTATTCTCCATGTTCTCCAATCTCGCCACGGTTAAGTGCTAAGCACTCTCTAATATTCTCCATGTTCACCAATCTCGCCACGGTTAAGTGCTAAGCACTCTCCAATGATCTCCATGCTCTCCAATGATCTCCATGTTCTCCAATATTCTCCATGCCCTCCAATCTCGCCACGGTAGAGTGCTAAGCACTCTTCATTTTCTCCACAATATAGTGCTAAGCACTCACTATTTTTTCCATGGTATAGTGCTAAGCACTCTTCATTTTCTCTATGGCATAGTGCTAAGCACTCTCCATTTTCTCCACGGTTTAAGTGCTAAGCACTCTCCAATTTTCTCCAACGGTAAAGTGCTAAGCACTCTTCATTTTTTCTCCATTTATAAGTGCTCAGCACTCTCTAAATTTTACTCCAATGTCCAGTGCTCAACACGGGGATTTCATCCTTTTCACTTGTTTCTTTGATCCTGCTACAAGATGCTGCTCTATCTTACAGCAAGCTCGGGGACTAAGTGTGTACACTTCACCTAGCAGTAAGTGTACTGTTTTTCCTCTTACTGGTCATCAGCTAAGCTAGGGGCTGGCTGTGTGCTCGGCTAAGCTAGGACTTAGTTATTCTGATGAACTGATCGTTGTACTTCTTTGATCCTAACACCAGGTGCATTCTTCACCTACTGTTAGGCTCGGGGACTACAATGTATACATTACACCTTGCAGAGCATGTATCAATACTAACATCCTCTTTGACTAAGTCATGGATGATGATCATCTGACTTCACCAATGAAGCCTAAGTGTGTACACTTTACCTAAAGTCGATGTCTCCGGCAAGCTCCGCCGCTGTTTTCTCCGCCGATCACCTGGTCGAACTGTAAGGTTCATGATCTTCGTCGCCAACCAGCTGGTCGAACTGTTCGGTGCTCACTTCTACTTGGCACTCACTTCGCCGCCGACCAGTTGGTTGGGCTGCTCGGTGCTCGATTCTTCGCTAACCCTGGTCGGATTGTTCGTCGCTTCATCGCTAGCTAAGCTGGGGACTCCTCGGCGTTTGGATTGTTCGCCACTTCATCGCCAGCTAAGCTGGGGACTCAGCGTTCAGATTCTTCGTGCAAGAGTCACCAGCTAAGCTGGGGACTCCTTTGGCGGTTGGATCTTGCTATGTCTCATCGATGTGCTATCAACTTGCTCTATTCTATTCGGATCAGGGTGCTGATCTTAGGCAACACGTCTTGGGTCTTGATACGCACATGATAGATAACATTGGCAAGCTTTCAGGCTTATTTTCTTTGATCCTGCTACAAGATTTATTTCTTCATCTTCTAGCAGGCTCAGGGACTAAGTGGCTACACTTTACCTAACGATGAATGTAGTGCTCTTTTCTTGATTTATCCTCCTTATTGACTAAATCATGGATGATTCCTCGTAAATAGAGTCTAAGTGGCTACACTTCGCCTAAGGTGGAGAATTTTCAAATTTTTATCTTAAGCCTCTTACATCCTTCTATCAAGCCGTACTTGGCTAAGTCTGAGATCTGCGTACTAGTTAAACTGGTCGGCTTCGACTTTCACCGCTCAGGTCACCAGTTAAACTTGTCGGCTTCGACTTCCACCGCTCGGATCACCAGTTAAACTGGTCGGCTTCACGTCAAACTGCTCGGACTTGTTCAAGATAGCGTTGCTCAAATGATATAAGGCGCTCGGGGACTAGCTGTGGGGGATATACCCCCAGTATCTATAAGACAAGACATGGACCACACCATCAGAGGTGGCCCAGCCCACAAGATCAAGACATGCGACGTGCGGCACACGGCCCTGGTCGACGTGCACCGCAAGGCTACAAGAAGATATTGTAATACCAAATAGGATATTTTTTTTGTAACCCTACCCCTCCAGAGTATATAAGGAGGAGTAGGGGTCCCCTAGACGAGTATCAAATCTGATACACGCTCAATACAAAATAACGGAGCACAGGATGTAGGGTGTTACGTCAAGCTGACGGTCTGAATCTATATAAATCTTGTGTCTTGTATCTCTGTTATCGTCTGGTTCGTATCACGCGCACCTCCACCGATTCATCTACTACCGTGGATATACCCCTCGATAGACTGCTGACCAAATTTCACCGACATAATGTATACACATGTTCAAGCAAGTGCATTTGGTACCTAAATCATTTAGCCTTTGATCGTATCTTTATTGCTTGTGATCAACTCACTTGAATCCTCGGTCATACTTCTTTATTAGTATGTTCAACAAATCTCCACACTTGTAGCTAGTAGAGGAAAGATGAAGGAACTATATGTTCAAAATTGTACTACTATTATAGAGGAAGTTTCAATAAGAGAATTCATTCGTACGAAGAATAGAGACTATCAAAGTTTCGCACATTACCTTTAGGAATATGTTATATGTGTATGTTTCGCACAGTAGGCACTATATTCAAAAACGTTTTTGCTCAAATGTTTCGGACACATTGACTTTCACTTTTTGTTTTTTTTCATTCATCCCAACTTACGGATGCAAATGGTTGGGGTGCATTATTGCTAAAAATGTTTGGATTTCCCTACTTTTCTCTTTGTTGCTTATGATCCTGTTATTCAACTCCTCAGCTACACTTATTTGTTAGAATGTTCAAGGGACAGTCACACTTATCACTTATGTTGGTGGTAGTGCGTGAGATAACTGCGTGTTTGAAACCATATTTGTCATAGAAGAAAATTGATATAACAGTTGCCAGTTACTGATGATAGAATGTTTCACACATTATATTAAAAAATGTTTATATGAATGTTTCATAAACTAGAGTACCAGACTCTACGTTCAGAAGAACATTATGTAAAAATATTTTTTATTGTTTAGGAAAATTATTCATTATTTTAACCATTGCATTGATTTTTTACTTCTTAGATTCCTTTTCATTTCTCCTATGTTTAGGGTTGGGAAATGGTTGGGGACAGTGCTACTCAAACCATTTGGATTTCTCCGATTATGGGCGTGTTCGCTGGTCTGGTCCATCCAGACCAGCCGGCTGATCCCCCTCAGTAAACACTATTCATCAACCAGCCGCTACAGTATTTCTCTCTCACAAAATCAGCCAGTTTCAGTCAAGTTTCAGACCAGCGAACGGGGCCTATATCTCGTTCTTCTTCATGGTGGCATGTCTGGATTTATTTCTAGTTGCTTCTCATTGCCTCTTTCTTCCTTCTGGAAACCAACTTGACTTCCGCATCCTTTTAGCTACTCCATAAAAAACTGATGGATCTGTTTCAAAAAAAAAACTGATGGATCGGCCAAAGAGTTTCACTTTTACCAAAAAAAAAATGGCGGCCATTTATTTAATTAAAAAGACACACGAAAAAGAAAACACCTCATGGGCCAAGCAAGGCCCTTGGCCCATCCAGGCCGGACCGGCCTGAACGCGAGCCCGTGCATCTCCGTCAGCCCCGAGGGACAAACGGCAACCGCGGCCGCGCCGGGCTTCCGCACTCGAGTCGAACCCGACTCCAGTCCGCTTCCTCCTCTTCCTCCCATATAACCCAGCCGCCGATTCACTGTAGCCTTCGTCTGTGCTGCCCGTGCGATTTTTTTGCCGCGCCTTGTCCTACCCGAAGCCAGTAGCCTCCAGGCGGCGGCGTGTTTTTTGCGGCGGCGTCTTCGTGCCGAGTTAGGGTTAGGGTTTCTGTGGTTGCGGAGATGGAGGAGGTCACGGAGGGAGTGAACAATCTGGCGATTACGGAGCCGCACAAGAAGAACAGGATCCAGGTCTCCAACACCAAGAAGCCTCTATTTTTCTACGTCAACCTCGCCAAGGTGAGGTTTTTCCCCCGTTCTCGTTTTTTTTTTCTTTTTTTCTCCTTGATTGTTTGGGGGATTATTATTGCCAGTTATTGAGCCAACAGCGCGGATGCGGTTTTGCATCCTCTTTTTTCATCAATTTTTTTTATAAGTTTCCTAGAATTAGTGCACGGATCCAGGATGGGCTTTGGTCACTAAACCCTAGAGGGGAAAAAACTATCTGATTTCATCTCTTTTCTCTTGAAATAATATGTACTGTTTTGTTTTGTCATGTTTTTTCGTTTGGCGATAACTCGAGACTTTTTTGTTTTGTTTGTTGCGATGATTGCAGAGGTACATGCAGCAGCACGAGGAGGTGGAGCTCTCGGCCCTTGGCATGGGTAAAACTCTTTTGCCCTTCACAATGCTATTTACCAGTATTCTTCACGTTCCACTGTTGTGTTGTTGTAAGCTTTTATGTACCTGTATCTCAAAAGTCAGAAACGTTTGTATGTCTAGTTTTGACTACAACTGTCCCTGGTTACTCATATTTTGAGTTTTGACACTGAAGTCTTAGCGATTTTTCAGAGTGTCTTGTGTTGGCATTCTTGTGAACTGTCCTACCTCAAGGATGTGGTGATCCTTGTGAAAGTTCACTCTGAAAGGTCAACATAGGTTAATTCTGTTATTGCAATGTCTAGTTATTGGCCATAGGTTTTGCGGATCTGTGATGACGTATTATTGTGGTTATAAGTTCAAGTGCCCAAGGTTAACTTTTAGCATGATTTATCGTGTCCTTTCTATTACTTTTCTGTTATGTTTTATTGCTTTTCTGTTATGGTACCTGTTTTAGGATATTTCTTTGGTCAAATTTACATGCATACAAACATGATGACATAATCTCCATGACTCCACTTTTTCACTTTGTATTCTTAATTATATTTTGCAATTGTCCTCTTCGCTGTGGTAATATCTGTTGTGTCTGTCCATACTGTACTTTCTTAATTACAACATGTTGGTATGCTGATGAACTTCCTTATCATTCCAGCCATTGCCACTGTGGTTACTGTTGCTGAAATTCTGAAAAATAATGGGCTCGCTGTTGAAAAGAGTAAGGATTTGTAGCCTATATACTTCTGTCATTGTGACTCATCTTTGCATCTTCATCTAATGAGAATTGGTTTCCAGAGATCATGACATCCACAGTTGATGTCAAGGATGATTCAAAGGCCCGCCCTATTCAGAAAGCCAAGGTGAACATCTCTTCCCTTCTAAGAAATGAAGTAACATTGCTCAAGAGTTACTAGCGGATTGTTTTTTTTTATGCTGATACTGTTACTGTGGCCAGATCGAAATAGTGCTGGGCAAGACAGATAAATTTGATGAGCTGATGGCGGCAGCTGATGCAGAGAGGGAAGCTGCCGAGGCAGAGGAACAGAGCTAAACGTCTATCTTAAATTTTGATGTTGTATTAGTACAATGCTGTTAGGTTGTGGATTTTAATCTCTTGGCCAACAAGAGACAGTACTTCTGTGCTAGTATAATCAAGAGCTGTGCTCATTTTATTTGTTTCCATGGTAACTTATCTTTATGATAAGATTCGTTTTCACTAGTGTTTTGATGAGTTTCCAATTATGGGCCTGTCTTGGACTATTCTGCTCCACTCCTTTCAACTCAACTCCACAAACTCTGCACTAGTAGGGAAAAAAAAGTGGAGTTACGACGTGTTTGGTAGGGCTTGGCTACTCAAAAAGGTGGTGATTTTTTTTTTTGCTCCGGTTGGGAAAACGTCAGGTTCTGTTGTTTAATAAAAAATGGATAAAAAGGATGAAATCTAATCTTTTCTTTGTTTGATCCTTTTTTCTCTCTTTTCTTTGTTTTTTATGTCCTCTCTTATTTTCTTCTCTCTTTCTTAGAGTATAACTTCGGTAGTAGCCGTCGAAACAGGGCCCCTTTTTTCATGCTCCCTTACTTTTTGAGGAGGTTTTTTTTTTCTGCACTCTGTTAGTGGCCCACGGCTCAAAACAATTCTAGTAGAGAATGACAGAAGACGCGTGCCATCCTCTTTCAGTCTTTCTTACCTTTATCTTTCTTGCCTTCTTTTCCATTGACTAGAGGGCGGGAGGAGGAGGCCATGCTGCCAAGGAGAGGCGTCGTGGGAGGACCGGAGGAGGCCTCGCCGGAGAGGGGCGTTGGGAGCCTAGGAGGCAGAACCGCGAGGAAACCGTCCATTAGTGGGCTCCCTCCAGAGCCCCTAGGAATGAGGGTCCGAAGGGGGATTTGGGGGAGGGGCCCCTCGGGGCGACTTTTTCTAGGGTGGAAAATTTATGGAGGATAATTATTTCGTTCTTTATGGAGGGTTTTTCATTCCTGGGAGTGCCTCCTTGCTTCCAAATTAGCCCTCAAATTTTAGGGTTCTAGTAGAGTTCTCCGGACCTCTTTTTTTATCGTAAGTTCTCAAATTTAGTCTTGAGAGCTCAAGTAGGGGCCTCTCTGGAGTTGCTCTTATCTGCTCAACATACCATCACATGTGTCGCTGACTCTATCCACATGCCACCTCGGCCTCCATCACACCTCCGCCTTCAATGCTTTTGCCCCCATGCCGTTGGAGTCGGAGTCGATCGCCGCTCACCCCCGCGTGCATCCTGCATGGAGGGGTGGGCATGGAAGAGAGGCATTTTGGGAGGGTTCACATGTGTGTATGGAGGAGCTAGAAGAAGCTACCTTTTCTTCCCCAATGGATTCTATTTCCAGATCCAGAGATTGTGTTTCCCGAGTGGGATAGGCCAGAGCTCTAGCGAAGGGCTCACGTGCACGTACGGAGGAGCCAAAAGAAGCTACTTTTTTTTTCCTCCTGCGGTGGATTCTAGATCTAGAGAGTGCATTTTCTAAGTAGGCCGCAACGCCAGTGGAGGCCCATGTGCATGTATGGAGGAGCTGAAAGAAACTTTTTTTTATCTTTTGCGGTGGATTCTAGATTTAGGACCCGGAAGAAACTATTTGTTGCCTTTTGCGGTGGATTCTAGATTTAGAGAGCCCATTTTTCATGTCTTTGGTTCACATGAACTGAGCTTAGGAATAGTGTAGGAATTTTTTCTTTGAATGTTGTTTTGAAGGAAAACTACAGGAAATTTAGTATCCGCTCAAATATCTTGGTAAAAATCGGTCCATCCAAATGATCATTCCTTTCAAATTCATGTGTAATTCCTGCAATTTTTTTTATTCCTATGTTTTTATCGTTCCTTTCAAATTCATGTGTAATTTCTGTATTTTCTTTTTTTTATATTTATATGGTTTTGCTTTTCTGTGTTCCAAAGGGACCTAAATGGGACCCCTATATGTTTTTGGTTTTCTATGTTCCAAACGAGGCCTAAACGGGGACCTATGTGTAAGAGAGGAAATGTCGTTGAGGAAATTGAACGAGCATACTTCTGCGCAAAATTTAAATGCTTTCGTCCCTTATTTCAAGATTGAGGGAACAGGTTACAAAATTAGAGTAGCGATAGCAACAGCAAAAGTTACGAGCCTTACGACATTACCAGACATGCTCACATGACAAAATTGCCCCCGCAACATGCAGCACCATCAAGTAAGAATATTCTTTATGGATTTCAACACAAAACTGAGCCAAAACTTGATCTAACAGGCGTTCAAATATCTTAGATCTACATTTTCATCAGTTGATATGACTAGGGTATAGTGCCCCCACCTTCCAGCCTTCCACATCAGTCATACCCCTTCCTCAGGGGCATACAAGCTTCAGCTTCACTCACTATCCTCATTGTCTTCGACCAGGATCTTCTTACAGGCCTCGTAGCACATGAACGAGATGCCCGCTGCAGGCATCAGCTTGATGCAGCTCGGTCCGAGCCCCTTGTACAGGCCGCCGATCCCTTCCTTCTCCATTATGCAGTAGAGCGCATGGAACACATTCTTGTAGATCTGCCTCCCACCTACTGCTCCTACCTGCATTTGCTTGCGGGCCACCTCGAGAGGGAAGGTGGCAGTGCTAGAGATGGCACCAGCTGCTGAACCAATTAGGAGAGTTGCGATGTTGCTGATCTCCTCCTGCTTGAACGTCTTCCTATAGAGCTTCTTTAGGGTGTCATAGGCATAGTAATTGGTCGCAGCATATGGCACCACTCCTATCAGACTTGGTGTCAGACCACGGTAGAGCTCTGATGGACCTTCCTCTCGCAAAATCTTGACGAAAGCATGGAGGAAGTTGTCATAGACATCTTTCTGCAGAAACAAGGAGTGAGCTGAGGTGCACAGAGAAACATCAGTTATTCAAGCGGTTGAGAAAGAGCTCTGTGCACCTCTATCGTCAATCTGGTCTTAATCAATTCCAATGGATACATGCACAGGGTTGAGCTGACTCCAGCAAGTGCTCCAGCAACAAGTGATGGAGGTAGGAAGGTCTTTGGGGACTCATCAGCCTTTGGAGTCAAGAATTTCTTGGCAGTATCAAAAGCAAACAGCTGCATTTGAACAAAGAGGTCAGCTATATAAAGGTATGTTTGTACAACAGTATAGGTGATGCTTGATCAATTGTTGTAAAAACCAAGTCTCTGGATATCTTAGATTCATAAGCAGAAAAAAATGGACATGGAATACCACAAGCAAAGTCATAACAAAGGCTAACATATACTACCATTTTGCGAGTCCATATCTAAATAAATTTCTCTTGCAGTGCAGGCCATAAAAAATATCCAAAAAGCACACTGCTAATTAACAAATTCATTTTGAGGCCTCTCACATGTTCAGAAACAAAATTTATATAGTAGCATATTATACATGTTTGCCGCCTACAGAGTGTCAAACATGCCTATTCTGCACATGACCAGATAGCAAGCTCAAAATATCAGAAAAAATATAATATTCAAAATATAAGGTAAGTGGTTGCAACTCAGTTGATACAATTCATAAACTACCAATCTAGACCAGTATTCAAAAAGGCGTGATTCCACGGCCGCCTAGGCGCGCCGTGACGGACTGACGGGGTACCGTGGACCCTAGGGGGGTAGGTGGTACCTAGGTGGAGGCCGGACATGCCGTCCCCGGTTTTCCTACAAGCAGATCCACGAAGGTAAGGATGCTGAGCAGCGGGGGAGGAGGTGGGAACAGCAGGGGCGCCGGAGGAGGTGGGAACAGCGGGGACGGCAGGGGAGGAGGCATGGACGGCGGGCTGCTTGCAGGTGGAGACAACAGGCACGGCCGCACAGCGTCGGAGACGGCAGGCGCAGCCTCGCAGCGGCGGAGACGGCAGCCAGGAGGAAGCTAGCGGCGGCGGAGACGGCAGGGAGGCGGCAGGCGGAAAGCAGAGTCCGTGAGTCGAGAAGATAAGGTGGACGCATGCACCTGGGAGGGAAAGGTGGGCTGGGTTGGCGTGCACCTGGGAGGGAAAGGTGGGCTGGGCTTTTTTGGGGCTTTTCTGTCTAACTTTCAGTCCACAGTCCCCTGTTTTTTCTTTTATTTAAGGTAATATATGTATATGTGTAGAACGCCTAGAAAACTCCTAGATGACGCCTAGGCACGCTTAGGCTCTAGGACCGGTCAGCACCTAGATACCTCCTAGCGCCTTTTTGAACATTGATCTAGACAAAGCTGAATAACCACAAACAACAAGGTCCATAGCTTCAAGCGGTAAAATGTTATCAAAACCAAGGATAGCAATATGATACCATATATTTTCTTGTAGAGGATACAGATCATATCAAGAATGTAATAAGCAACTAAAAGATCAAGAGCAACTAGATGAAGAAAAGCATGAAGCGAACACTAACTCCTTTGAAGAATGTGTTTGCAAATCACATATACTATACTAATAGCAGCCAGGGTGCTGTTACAGAAATTTAACTTCAGAGTGGCACAATCTCAGTATATTGGTAAAATCTTATTTCAACATGGATTTGTTTGTACTGCTAGGCCATCAGCAAAATGGAATTGGCAGTACCACAGTATCAAATATAATTAATCTTTTCCTAATCATTTACCCATAATTACCAACCCCATTTAAGTGTAAAAAACACCATGATTTGTACAAGCATCAGTTAGCATCACTGATACAACAACTGACAACAGTGACATCACATGATAGAATTTTAAGCAACAGGACCTGACCTCCAGGACATTTAAATGGTAATATCAAATTAAATAAAAAAAGGAAGCAGTTTACCTCAATTGCTTTGCTTGGCGCAACTCGGATAACATTGACAAGATTCCCACGGAAAAGCCCAGTCCACCCCTCAGTGTTCATGATTGACTGGAACACCTCTATCATGGAGTCACCGTTGCTCCCAACCATCAAGTGAGTCCTGATTGTCTCCAGTGGTGCCACACAAGTCCTGGAAACAGCGCCCGCAAAAGCTCCACTAACTAGCCTCCTCAAATGTGGGTTCCCAATCTGAATTTTCAGCTTCAGCCCACGTTTCTTGGCTGCCTTCTTTGCCTTAGCATCCACCACCTCCTCCTCCACTGGCTCGGCCTTAGTGCTAATAACCTTGTACCCAACCGCCTCGGACACGTACTTCATACAATGATCAGCAAACGGAATCTTAATATCCTTGTCGCCCGGACCGGGCGCCACTGCTGGCGCACCCGTCGACACTTTAAGACCCACGCTAGCAAACAGGCCGCCATGAGCAGGCCCAGAGCCTTGCAGACTTAGAGAGAAGCCCTTGTCTTCATGTGAATCCCAAGGGAACCGGAGCTCCGGGAGCTGAATAGACCAGCCCTGCTTCTTCTCCATGGATAATACGCTGTTCTTGCTCCTCGCAGTCATCGCCACCATCGTCGCCGCCATTTTCTTAGAAAATAGCTTTGGCTCAACCTGCAGGACACAGAGCGGGGGCTCAGGCTTTCAGCAGCGCTGCACTGACGGCCACAACAAGGGGTGGTATATTCTCAGCCACCAATTCCAAAAGTTTAACACCACCATTGGTTCAAAATAAGAAGAGCTCGCCACTAAGAATGAAGAATACCACCTACCCTCTCCACTAGGAAATCGCAGACAAAGATGGCCCAAGAGTGATGGACCAATCGGACATCAGCACTTAATACAACGAGCACGGGGGCAGATGCAGTGAACCTGGGCCTCCCCGCTCCACCGACCTCAGCCCGGACCAAACGGACCCATCCTAAGCAAGATCACCAAACCCTTTTGCCCCACCCGATAAAGCACCCTACGGCACCGGCACCGGCACCGGCACCGGCGGAGGCGCGTCGAGGAGACGGAGCCAAAGATACCTCGGGGCTGAAGCCGCTTAGGAATCCCGAATTGGACGCCGCTCCTCCTCGTGGCGGCGCGGCGCGGAGCGGAGGCAGGCTGGTGGTGAGCCGGAGGAGGGCGGCCGGCGGCTGCTTGTTCCTCCCCCCGCCTTGCGCTGCGCTCCGAACTCGACAGAACAGGAGGGGTGCTGTGCTGCCAACCCAATCCGCTACCTTTTTTGGGGGTTGGTTCGCAGGGGACCAGGGGGTTAATGGCGGACCAACTTGAGGGCAGTTCCGGGTATTCACAGAGGATTTTAGGGTGCGTGGACGCGCGTCACGCCGACCCCGGCTGGGTTCGCGTTTCCTGGTCCGCCCTGCTCTGGTTGGGTTGGACCGTTGGACGCTGGTTACAGACCGCGCGTGCAGCTGTGGGCTACATGGGCCTCTAGTTTCAAAACCTGGATTCAGGGTAAGGCCCGTTCGGAGGACGATTGTTTTGCTGGAATTTCGGGAAAAGGTCCATTCTAGCTTCGTAAACTATCTTTGTAGTCTGATTTTCTTACCAACTTTAAAACCACACATCTTACCTTCTAAAGTCTCAAAACCATTCAAATTACCTCTCTATCCTGATTTGTAGTGGGTTTGAAGGCAGGTTTATCTTTTTAAGTTAAAAATGGGTAAATACTTCATAAGTTTTTTAAAACCATAAAAAAAATGTCTCAAAGATTTTAAAAATCCTAGAAGAACCGTAGAGATACATTGGAATTTGAAAATTTCAAATGAAATATATTAGAACTCATGAAAAAAATCTCTAGATGATTTATAAATGGATTTAGCTCTAGGAGAATGGAAAAAATCCGTAGAAATATAGAAAATTCTCAAAATATTCTACTTGTTATGTACACAGGGTTTGAGAACTTTTTTCCACAAAAAGCATGATACATAACCATCATGGATGCATAGCATGAACACATTGAACATTAATGCATATTGCATTCATATTGGTTGCATCTCATACTTTTTACATGTACAGTTTTAAAAACGTGTTTTTACCTCGATTAGAATCTTTTGAGAATATTCTATAATTTTTTGGATATTTCTCTCATTTTCAAAGAGCTAAACCTATTTTTTAAGTTCCTAAAGATGCTTTCATGGCTCTAAATATTATATTTGTATTTACGTATCTTAATATGTCTCTGGAATTGGTTTCTAGTTTTTAAAATCTAAGATAAAATTTTCATGGTTTAAAACTCCTTATACGGTTTTTTATTGATTTTTTATATTTAAAAAGACGAAACTGTTTTCAAAACCACTCCAAACTAGATCAGAGAGTTAAATTGAATGATTTTGAGAGCTTACAGAGGTATAAGATGTTTGGTTTTGAAGTTCAAGATGCAGAACAGACTAGGTGATAATTGAGGAGGCAAATAGACTTTCTCTAAAATTTCACGAGACACGAAAGCTTTTATTTTTGGGGCATGTCGAACTTTCAAATAGAGGTGCCATGTGTTTATGACTTGCCATGCAACGGAGGCACGGGTTTTTTTCCGCACGGAGAACGACGCAACACGGAGACGGAGGACGGAGGACGGAAGACGGAGTCAAGTACCGTATGTGTGGCGCCCCACTGTGACTGAACGGCTGTATGTGTATACCGGACACACGCACAACAGCAGCATGAGTTGAGGTGCTCGTCGGTTTGTGGATTGTGTGGTCGTGCGCGCGGCCCAAAAGGCTCTGCAGGCTGCAATCACCTCCCTCGGTAGGCATACGAGGAGGGAGCAGGAGCACCGACGGCCGCGGCGGGGCACGCCGATTCCGGGCAGGATGGTCTGATCGACGGGACAACCATGGCCGGCCGACGCAGTTATGCACGCACATGCGGCGGATCTGGCCCGATCTTTTGCTGACACGTGCATGCACACGTTGAAGGGCAGGGCCGGGGATACGATTGTACGAAGCTCAGAATACATATGTCGCTCGCTGATAAGTTATGCGAGTACTATTGATTAATTTGATGTGAGAGAAAAATATTATTCGTTAACTAAAAAAAACGCGCTTATAAGACAAACAAACAGGGCAATATACTATGATAATGATGGATGCGACCATATGCGTGGGCATATGGATGAAAACGGGACAGGAAATTCCCGTACCGACCGACACCGTATACCGTATTAACCGATTGCATACCGTTTTTTGCAGGAAACGGGAAATCGACACTGTATTTTAGGCAGGAACTGGAACGGAATCAGTTAAGGAATTTTCCCGATCGTATTCACGGTTCCCGTATTCGTGCAGGAAAATTCCCGATGGTATTTCCGTATTTCGTACACCTAAACCTCATATTCAGCCCACTGATTGATGCAGCCCACGAAACCTCCTGTTCCCCCGCGCCACAGACCCAGCCCACTCCCATCCGCTACTCCCTCCCAGCCCACTAAAAACTGATTGGTGGCGTCTTCCTCCACATAGCTATATTACTGCATTAGCCGCATGTGGACTAGAACAATGATGTCCAAAATGGTGAGCTGTGAGACTGACCGGGTGTGTGCAACAAATTGGTAGATTCTGAAGAAGTAGATGTCAATGATTTTTATTTCTAAACATGGAGGGGAAGTCAATGTCAGTGTGGGTTCACTGGACGAGGCAAGGCGATATCGATATACAATACTTGCTAAGTTTTGGTTTCAGTCATCAATTCTGTATCCTTCATGGTTCAATAATATAACAACGCTCCAGGACGTTATCAACTTGTCCACTTATTTGCATATGGTTGCTATTGTTGCATCGAGCTCATTGTTTTAAGTGGTTACATATATTGATGTTCCCGTTTTGTGTTACCGCTTCCCGATCGTAATCGACACGTTCCCGTTCGAAATATTCCGTTCCCGATATCCCGTAATACCGGTTTCGTTTTCCCGTCCGGCCTTCCCGTTTCCATTTTCGCTCCCGGCAAAAAAAATACAGAAGTGAGAATGGTTAAGATATTTTCTCGACCGGTCCCGACCGTTTTTATCCCTACGCGGAGTACGTCATTCCTTGCGTCAAATAGCTACCATTTCACAGGTACGAATAACCTGCCAGCCAGCGAGAGCAAAGCGCTTTTATTTCCCGGGTAGGATAGGAGTACACAAGTATGGTTCCACATCAGGGTGTTTGATATAGGTGACTACGGAGTAAACTTTAGTCTCTGTTAAATCAAATATTTGATGCTAATTAGAAGTATTATAAAATATTATAGATATAGTCTAAATACAAAACTGCTCCCTCCATTATCTTTTCTTAGGCGTATGGTGTTTTTTTTCATTTTTGATGTTTAGGTGTGGGACAGCTACCGAGGCAGGAGTTAAAGAGCAAGCTTATGCATTTACACATTCACATCAAAACTCACGAGATGAATTTATTAAGCTTAATTAGTCTATGATTAGTGAAGGTGGTGTTACAGTAAACATATGCTAATCATGAATTAATTGGGCTTAATAAATTCATCTCTTGAATTAATCACGTCTTATGCAATTAGTTTTATAATTACCTTATGTTTAGCCCTCCTAATTGACATCGAAACATTCGATGTGACAGGGACTAAACTTTAGACTCTAGATCCAAACACCCAGAGGAACACCCCTATTGAGCTTATTTTATAATTTTATATAAGTATGTACAAAAAAAAAGAAACTTTACGAAACCTAAAACAAAACAGACCATACCATAAGAAGATATTTCTTTAAGGATTTGCACCTAAGAATGTAAGAGAGAGCTCTTCACGAAGCCAGCGCCACAAGGACATGGTCTTGTTGTAAAAAATGATTCCATTGTGCTGCGTCCAGATGCACCATGCAGCCACTACTATTAAGGGTAGTCCCAATACTAAAAACTACATGTAGTTTATATACCTATTAATTTTTATAGACACTACTTATAGAAATCATGGTCCCAATGGATAGTTTCTATAGAACAATTTTTATCCAATCACATTCATTCTCTCTCCATTCTCAACCAATCATATTCCTTCATGTCTTGGTTCTCGTGTAGATATGGTTTCTAACTTAGACCCGGTTTCTATGATTTTTGCTCTCTCTCTTCGATAACTACCTTACCACATCAAAAACGCTTAGGTGATAGTACAATTAATGCACATAGAAATTATCATGGTTTCTGCATTGGGAGTGCCCTAATTCCATGAAAATAGGGCTTCGAGAAGCTTGTCCACATAATGCCAATCTCTTCGGAATAGGTGCTGTGAAATCCCAGGTGATACCCATTAACCGCCAACACCAGACACTAAAAGTACATTCGAAGAAAAGATGCTCAACTGTCTCCTCAACATCATCATTGCAGAGCACACAAGAATAAGATGGCAACCACATATTTTTTTTCTTTTAAGCATGTTTCAAGTGTTCAATCGTGCTGAGAGAAGTAATCAGAAGAAAAACTTATGCTTGCCACGGCAACTACTCTTCCAAAGCCATCTGAACTGCAGTGGTTTGTGAGTGTACCTGTTAGAGCAAGATAGGCTTTTTTTCCCGGGTCTTTTACCCGTTTTTCATTAAGAGGAAAGACCAAAAGAAAGGTCGCGTCACGGATACAAAG